TTTTTCGATCTCTGTTTATTTCTATATGACTTCATAAAGATGTGTACATTATTATAACATCAATAATTATGGACATTTTTATAGGTTTCAGACAAGTCTATAATTTAGATTTCATTTCTCATTTTCGAAAATTTGAAAATGTTATAACAAATATCAAATTTGCGTAATGGTTGAGTGAAACACGTTTTTTTTTGCGATTATTCCAGTTCATCATATCCCGTTACCTCGTATTGCCAGGCTTTGTATTGGTTAGGGACTCCACTAATGGTCTCAGTGAGTTCTTCGTTGGTAAAATCTAGTCCAACATAGTATCTGTAAAGGTGCAATTCTAACACTGAAGGTCTCATGCCACTAATCAACCAATGACCGTTCAATTTAAATGCCTTGCAAGAACCAATGAAATATTTTAAATATTTTTTTTTTCTCAGGTGCTCCCTGTTTGAGGGCGTGATAAACTGGGTCAAAGGTGAGACCAACCAGCGGCTGTTCACCTGTTCTAATCTTATTTTTTTTTTCAGTGATTTTTCTAGGTGCAATTCAAATGCTAGTACAGTGGGTGTGTCTTGTTTACCTGAGATTTGCAAAAGTTTGAGCTGGCCAACATGTTATTTTTTTCATGTGGTTGATTATTGGCATGTTGATTTCCCATTTTTGAGCCATGTTTTCAACTTTGTTTATCATTTTCATATAGCAATCTCGTCATATGTTAACATTGTCGTCTGTGGAAATTCAATTAGTGGTATGTGCGCCCTCGCACCAGGCATTAGTGTGCGCATGGGCGACGCGCATGGGCATAATAGTATTTTTGTCACATGATGTAGTTTGGTCATGTGCATTTATTTACCAACATTAGACAGTCCTGAAATCGTCGTTATTTAACTGGACGTTTCTGAGACTCATTGCGATCCGATTCTTCGTTTCAGGTACAGTAAATGTTATGATATAGTCTAGATGTACTCCCTCATGTTTCGTTACAATTTACATGCATAAACTGTGAAAAATTGATGAACATCAAAACTTTTTAACTGCGTGGCACGACATGGCCGGTGCACACATTATTTGCTGTGAAACGATTTTGTCATTAAGATTGCTCTGGATGTTGTAAGATCTGATTAGAACAACTGACGCTTTACTTCAAAGTATCGCCAAACGCCGGCAGACTTTGTCTACGGCCTATACTTACCCCCCCCCCCCCGGGGTATGTCAATACGTCTCGGGATACGTCTAGACTAGACGAAAGTTTACAGGCGATCAATATTTTGAAACAAAGTAGTTAATCAGTCATTTTTCTGATCATACAAAATCTTGGTGGTTTCCACTGTATTTATATGAAATATGATTTGCAAATCATGTCGTTGGAACCTGTGAATAGCTTTTGTTAAATAAAAATACATTTGTAAATAATCATTAATTGTCAAGTCTCGGCCGCACAGGCGCTCGGAACGTTTCTTGGCTAATAAAAAATGATCTAAGAGGGATCGGCGTATTAGTCAGTCGCCCGTACATTCCCCTGCTACTCATATAATAAGGAGGGCAAGGTATTTTC